ATACTGAGATCATTCTTTTATCTTAACTACTATTTTTATCCCCCCACGTGCCCCCTCTCCCTACCAAGATAAACACATTGGCCACCAGCTGTACCTAAAATCAAAAATGCAAATTCCTTTTTGATTCCATCAAGGTTCGAGTTGCAGGGTTTTTGTTTTTGTTTTTGTTTTTGCAGTGTTAAAATACTTTAGAAAATCTAATTTTTTTTTTTTAAACTAAGTCACTGAGATAGTTTGATTTGGGGCATCTACCATATAACTTTAAGATTTTAATATCTTTGTTGACCATAAATTGACTGTGAGTTTTGCTCTGATGAAAATTACTTGTGCCCGAAAGCTACACTGGGTTGAAACATTCTACCACGGTAATCCCTATGGATTAGAGCATATTGAAGTACAACCATGGGAAATAGAATGCTTCTTTTAAACCACTGAGCCAACAAATGAGGTCATTTGATGCTGAGAGATTGTGAATGTCCACGGAGGGGTTAGCTCACCGGTAACATTAAGCTGGTTTGGGCTGACCTATCCCTTAGTTGGTGGTAGGAATACCAGGATTTTTTTTTTTTTTTTATCATTCCCCTTTTGTCCTTCCAAGTTCCAAGCTGTAAAATAGACTAAAAGGTGGTTGAATCTCTACATGGGTAAAACTAAGTCAACTTTGTACAGACTATTTCCTTTTGAATTTGCTGTCTAACTGCCTTGATAGCATGTTAAAAATGGCAACATGTTAGGCATTTTAAATGGGGACGCTTTCAGGTGTCATCTCTAAATGACAATTCAGAAGAACTTACTTTGTATCTCCCCCAAATGCTGAGATGGAGAACTGAATGAAAAGAAAAATGGGAAAACAAAACAAATTGGAATCATGCCTGGCTTGTTTACTTTAGGAAATCTCTTAACACTCATTTTAATCAATTGAAAAGAGATGGTTCATCAGATCATAGAATTTTAGAGCTGAAAGGAGCCTCAGAGATTATCTCATCTGACTCTCTCATTTTATGGATGAGGAAACTGGGACCCAGTGAGGGGAAGACGGCTTTCTAGCATTCCACGGCTAATTAGCAGCTGGGCAGAGAACCGAAGTCACCACATGCCCAGCCTGGTGTTTTTTCCAGCCTGGATTACTGCTTCATTTTCATACCAATTTAAAGTCTTTATATATTTCCAAATTAAAAAGATTTATAAAAGCAATTTAGTGAACCTAGGAAGAATATGTTTTTTAGTTGAGTGAGCGCTTTCAAGTATGTTTCTGAATATTGACTGGTACTGATATAATACCATATAATTTGTATTTGTAGATTGATAGAACTGCTCAAAAGAAGTTTATTTATATATATAAAAAAACCCCACAAAAACCTAAACCCATATGTTTAATATTACATAAGGGAAAATGCTTATGTCTAATATCAAAGGAAGTAAGTCCTTCCCCCAATAAAATCCTAAATGCAATTTCAGATGTTCTTTCCCAAAATAAAAAGAAACCTATGTGGTAGGATATTCACAGACTTTCCCAAGGTTGGTTATCAATAGAGTGGACCATATAATTTTTTGTCCAAACTGGGTCACTTTTGAGAGTGAAAGGAGACATTATAAATATTTCTGTTGAGGCCACAAGTACAAACTGGGACTTTCCAGGGCAACTAGGACATATGGATCACCTTACCTATGAAATGATAAAAAGTTTACATCAATTCAGTATTTACTATGTGCTAGGCAAGGCCTCAGGGACTTCTAGACTTTAGTATCTCTTTTACTGGTTGAGCAGGTAAAGTCTTCAGAGACATTTTATTATGAGGTTTAAATATTATATTAAAAGTCAGAGGTGTGGGATCACATAATTTTTATTTCCTGCAATGAAAGGTGCAGAAATCTTTTCTGTTTCTCTAGGTAGAAAGCAATGAAGGCTTTCTGGGTGACCCCCTCCCCCGCCCCTGTCCCCACTCTCTACATCCTTTCACCCCCAAACCCCCCACCCCCGCCCAAATTTCTTCCACAAGTCCCTCTTTCTGAGACTTCTTTGAGTGGCAAAATTCAAATAGGATTATCAGTGTTGAATATTTCTCTGAGAACAGCTTCCTGGTGAGGAAGGTTTCTTTGTCCTGACAAGATAGGTTGCTGCTGAATTTGCTTTTCTCACTTTCAGTTGGTTTTATAATGGGGCTGTTGAAAGCAATGAACGGTTTAGAAAAATACCCTTGGTGCGGCGAAATAGGGACCATTTCCAAAGCTTGTTCAAAATCTGATTACATTAGCAATTTCTCAAATCCATTGTATTAGCTTTGTAATTTGCTTCCATGACCCATGGAATCTATTGACTCAGACGATGACTTTTTTTTTTTTTTAAGGAAGAGAAAAAGACCTCTCTCTTTGGAAAATACAAACTTTGAAGAACTTGGAAACAATAGATTTCTAGATTGTCTAAAAGGGAAGATCCAAATGTACCCAGTTTGCTTGTCATTGTTTGTGGTGCCTCTGTAGGGAGCTGGGAGGGATGCCTTGATTACTTTTTTGTATTTTAGACAGAGCTTTAAGGACTCACCACAGGCTGTGCTCCTGACTGTTTTCCTACAGGGAGGAAGAAACCTTGACGGCTGAAAATAGCTAGTATGCTTATCGAAGCTTGAGCATGGGCCCAGACTTTGAACTCAATGCTTTCCTAATATTTTCCCACTTCCCCTTCACAGAAGTCCTATGAGAATGTCAACAGTAATTTGCCTTCATTTGCAGGCGAGAAAGCAGAGGCTGAGAAAGGTGGCTTCACCCGGAACTGGCAAAGTTGTGATTTACAGGCAGTTTTGTCTGGTTCTAAGGGCTGTACCCTTGGGCTCTTCACTCTGCCAGGCCATGTTGCCTGGACTCTCTCGGACTTATCTCAATATGGATAGGATTTTCTCCATTGAAAGCCAGCCAGCCACTTATCCGAACCAAAACGTTAGCATGCTGCTATGGGTTGAATTGTGCCCCCCCCCCCCCCAAATATATTGAAGTCCTAAATCCCAATCCCTCAGAACGTGACCTTATTTGGAAATAGGGTCTTTTAAGAGAGAATCAAGTTAAAGTGAGGTTGTTAGTGTGGGTCCTCGTCTGATACGACTGGGTGCCCTTATTAAAAAGGGGAATTTGGACACAGACAGAGGTAAGACAACGTGAAGAGGAACAGGAAGAAGACAGCCATCTGTAAGCCAAGGCTACTAGCAGTCTATAAGGAGAGAGGCCTGGAGCAGACCCTTCCCTAGTGCCCCTGGTGAGAGCATGTCCCAGCAGACTTCTTGATACCAGACTTCTGGCCTCCAGAGCTGCGAGACGATAAATTTCTGTTGTTCCTCTTTTTTTTTTTTTTTTTAAGATTTTATTTATTTATTTGACAGAGAGAGATTGACAGTGAGAGAGCGAACACAAGCAGGGGGAGTGGGAGAGGGAGAAGCAGGCTTCCCACCAAGCAGGGAGCCCGGTGTGGGGCTCGATCCCAGGACCCTGGGATCATGACCTGAGCTGAAGGCAGACGCTTAATGACTGAGCCACCCAGGTGCCCCTCTGTTGTTCTAAGGCACCCAGTTTGTGGTACTTCGCTACAGCATCCCTAGAAATACACGTTTCCCCATATTTCAGCTGGTGGGGACTTGCTCCTGAGTGACCCGTGATGTTGGCTCTTTTTCCCGATTGAGGCCAGTGCGCGGAGCGGGGAGAGACAGGGCAGGCCCAAAGTGCCCGAGATGCAGCACCAGCCAGTAGAACCCATCTCCAGGCTCCAGGACTGAGCCCTGGCTGCCACGCACCGACAATGGGGGGAGGGCAGAATGGTGGCCCGTGTGGTGGCTCTGATCTCCCACCTCTTAGACGCACACAATGTGGTTCCAAGCAGACTCCTTTTTCTCTCTTTCCTACCCCCGGTGGGAGAATGATCTGTCATGGCTCCTGAATAATGCAGACATTGATGATTTCTTAATAACTTAAAAGCCCTTATGATGGGGTGAGGAGAAGGAAGAAAACATGTCCCACCCCCTCCAAAGGGAGAACAAAAGCCTTCATTCAAATCCTTCACAGGAGGACACTTGGAACTGCCAGGCGAGCCCTGATCCTCAGCTTCTGGGCAAAGTGACCTGGTTTTCTCACACTCACCACTCCCTCTAAGTGCAACCAGAAACACAACTCTCCTATTAGCTAGAAATAATAAAATGCTCAATAAACCCCAAATGATGAAGGCCCAGCCAGGAAACTTCCAAACACTCATGTTTATGGCACACCTGGTGAGTATTTTTACAGTAAAGTGTAAAATATGCCCTTTTAAATTGCACAGAATTGGTGGCAAAGCCCATTTATGCCCTTTCAGCTGTAAGCCAGAGTTTGCAGAGTTTATAAACTCCTTATAACCTGTCTCTATAATGTAAAAGTTTAGAATAAAAAGAGTACTTTGACAAGCTGTAGAGGTCAAAACAAACAGCTTCTATTTCTTGTCTGAAGAAGAGAAAGCTGAAGGGAGACTAAGTGTCTCTATGGGATTGCTTTGGCCCAGGGGAAAAAGCCTGTAAAGAGGACTTGAATCAGATAAATTCCATCTTCCTACTTTGATTCCTACTGTCGCGTTGAGGACAAACTTGTAACGAAGAACACTTTTGTTGAACAAGGTGTTAGAATAGCGGTAACCTGCTTGGGGCCGGCATGTCGTCACCCCAATATGCCCATGCCAGGTGGTGATCTGTAGCCTTTCTCTGAAGGTATGTGTTTCCCCTGTAGACTTGTAAATGTCTGGGGGCCTTTTCTGATGCTGGGACCTCCCACACTCAGGCCACACCACCCTGCAATCCATCCTCTGCACCCCGCACCTCTGCCACGCTCCCCTTGGCCCACCTCAATTCCTTCAGCTTTCAGTTACAGTCAGTGACCCCTGCAGCCTGCTGGGCACCTACTGCTCCCCACATTCTTCTCTCTTTCCTCTCTGGAGTCTTCATGGTCTGCGTCTAATGGCAAAATGTATTTTCCTGAACCCTCTGTCTCAGGTTGGGTGCCGGGAAACAAACTCAGCGGTGGAGCCTGGGACGTGCTCCCCGGGCCATCTCCTGTGGGGGAGTAAAAGAAGAAGGATGAGGCCGAGGGAGAAGTTAACGATGGTGAAGCCACGGCAAAGGTCTCCGAGAACCCAGTGTGAAGCCCTTCATCTGGAACAGCTGGGTCTTTGTAAACCTTCCTCAAAGGGCACCAGAGGCTGGCTGGCCCCGGGGGAGGGACATGGTCTTGGGTAAGGAAGCTCCCTGTGACTAAGGGCAGCTATCACTTGGGGAGGGACTCAGCCAGGAACCTTCAGCTACCACCAAGCCTAGCAGCTGGGGAACGAGTGTTGGGTCTTCACAGGGTGGATCTGTGTTCACTACACCCTCATTGTAGAATTCCCATCTGAGGAAAACAAGACCTTATAGAGAAATAAAAGCTGCAAGTAAGGTTAGGAGGAATCTCATACCTATTTTTTACATTTACTGAAATATAACCACAAAACACATATTATCAATGCTAGTTTACAGAGCTTAAATCAGTAATAATTAATGCTCTACAATTAATTTATTATTTATCTCTTTCCTTTCCCTTAAGCTTTAATAAGATACTTACAAATGTGTTTTTTTCTGTTACAAATAACATATTAGTAATTGCCGTTAACTGAGCGCATACTATATTGCAGATACTTACTACTTTATTCCATCTTCATAAGATCCTGTAAGAAAGATACCATTATCCCCATTATGGATGAGGAAGGCAAGCTTTTTTTTTTTTTTTTTTAGTTTAAATTCAATTAATTAACATATAATGTATTATTTGTTTCAGGGGTACAGGTCTGTGATTCATCAGTCTTATATAATACCCAGTGCTCATTACAACACATACCCTCCCCAACGTGCATCACCCAGTTACCCCATCCCTCCACTCTCCTCCCCTCCAGCAACCCTCAGTTTGTTCCCTATGATTCAGAGTCTCTTATGGTTTGTCTCCTTTTCTGGTTTCATTTTTTCCTGTCTTCCCCTATAATCCTCTGCCTTGTTTCTTAAATTCCACATATCAGTGAGATCATATGATAAATGTCTTTCTCTGATTGACTTATTTTGCTTAATATAATACGCTCTAGTTCCATCCACGCCATTGCAAATGGCAAGAATTCATTTTTTTTGGATGGCTGAGTAGTATTCCATTGTATATATACACCATATCTTCTTTATCTATTCATCTGTTGATGGACATCTAGGCTCTTTCCATAGTTTGTTTATTGTGGACATTGATGCTATAAACATTGGGGTGCAGGTGCCCCTTTGGATCACTACATCTCTATTTTTGGGTAAATACCCAGTAGGGCAATTGCTGGGTCGTAGGGTAGCTCTATTTTGAACTTTTTGAGGAATCTCCATACTATTTTCCAGAGAAGGCAAGCTTTTTTTTAAAGATTTATTTTATGTATTTAAGAGAGAGAGAAAGTGGGGGCAGGGGAGGGGCAGAGAGAGAGGGAGAGAGAAACTCAAGCAGACTCCATGCTGAGCTTGGAGCCCCATGTGGGGCTCGATCTCATGACCCTGAGATCACGACCTGAACTGAAATGAAGAGTCAGATGCTTAACCAACTATGCCAGGTTCCCCAGGAAAACAAACTTTAAAAAGAAAAAATTACTGTCCAATTCACATATAAATGGCAGAACTGGGCTGTGAACCCAGCTAACCCTGGAAGCTCTACTCTTTTTTTTTTTTTTTTTTAGAGCTGGGGAGAAAGTGGGGGCAGGAGGGGCAGAGGAAAAGGGAGAGAGACAGGCTCCACATGAAGCCTGATGCAGGGCTTAAGCTCACAACCCTGAGATCATGACCTAAGCCCAAACCAAGAGTCCTACTCAGTCGGTTACTGAGCCACCCAGGCGCCCTGAAGCTCTACTCTTTTAACTCTATCATGTTTCATTTTAACCTAACAAATAGCTTATTTTCCTTTTTGGTTCTCTTTCCAGATATCCAATGCCTCTCTGATTTTTGTTTTCCCTGCTAGTTGTGGAGATCTATTCCTGAAGTCTGACTATAGTCCCAGAAATAAAGCCATGGAAGAGAGAGGGGGCCTGTGTGCAGACCCTAACTGGAGAAAGTCGGTGGGCAGTCCTTAGAGACCCCCTTCTCCCTCCTAGGCTAGAGCCCAGGCTACACGGCCCCTGACCCCTCACCCGCCCCCTGATGCAGGGCAGTCTCCCTCGGCTTCTCTGCAGTGCCCTGAATCTGTAGATGCTTCACCCCCACAACCTCAGGCCCTCCTCCACCGTCCTCTTCCCCTTCCAGGGCCCAGTGCTTTTTTAACCTAGTTCTTAGTAAAAATGACTGTTGATGTCCACAAATTCAGATCTAAAATCCTCATGGCAATGGAAAGAGACTAAATAGATGCAGTCCCACCTCCCAGAATTTCAGGCACAGGGAAGAGAGGTGGAGAAGGGGACCACTATATATGTAATGATTGAAAGACCCGTCTTCATGTGTCCTTTTACAAGCATGTTTCACATCGAAAACCTGGTTTGGTGAAGACCGAAACTTCCTAGAGTTTGAGGCTTCAGGCCGAAAAAAATTCCCCACTTCATCATTTCAGAAATTTGAAGTTAAATGGAGCCAATTATCTGCCTCTCTCTTTCTCCCTCTCTCTCTCTCTCCACACACATACACACAGTCTGTATCTGTATAATATCTAGGTATATAATTTGTAAAATTACAAATCTCTATATAAATATAGATTCTACATAAATATAAATCTATATATACAATTTGTAAAATTATAACAAAAGGACTCTTATCCAGCTGGCTTTATCCAACTTAAAATGTGCCATGTGGGCTTTAGAGGAGAAATCAGGATGAGATGTTTAGCTGAGGTCTTTTTTTATACTAGAATAGTGGAATTAAAATCTCATTTTTTTGAAATGAAAAAAGGATAGATTTTCATCTGTCTGAGATAATTTAATATACCCTACCTGGAGGCAGAGGAGAATGGAGAGAATGATTCTTCTAGTCATTTCTAGCTCTATAATTATATTTTCCGAGGGAGAGAATAAAGATTCCTGCTGCTCTACACATTATTATACATTTTGAAGAGGATTCAGAATTTAATATTTGTCAGTCAGCCACTTTCCTAATTTTATGTCTAATTAGCCAAGAAATTGAAGTTTCAGAAACATACTTGATTTGCCAAATTCCCCTATGTATTTCAATTCACAAACATTTAGTATGTTCCTTCTAGGTGTGAAGCACTTTGTTGGGGAGCCAGGGAAAGAGGCTGAAGGAAGAGGGCACGGGCTAGTCTGCGCATGTCCAGAGTCCAGTGAGGAAGGAGGACGATTCAAAATGAGTTGCTAAGTTGGAGCTATTGTCCTTTAACAGAAATGCAGAGGTGGGGTCACTGCATTTTTTGAGGTGGGAGGAACACTGAGGAAGCTTCACAAGGAGCTGATGTTGGAACTGAGTCGGGGGTAAGCAGAACCTCACACAGGGTGCCTGAAGGGAGGAAGGGAGGGGAAAGGAAGGAAGGAAGGAAGGAAGGAAGGAAGGAAGGAAGGAAGGAAAGAAAGAAAGAAAGAAAGAAAGAAAGAAAGAAAGAAAGAAAGAAAGAGAAGAAAGAAAGAAAGAAAGAAAGAAAGAAAGAAAGAAAGAAAGAAAGAAAGAAAGAAAGAAAAGAAAAGAAGGGAGGAAGGAAGGAAGGAGGGAAGGAAGGAGGGAAGGAAGGAGGTGGGGGGAAGAAGGATGGAGGGAGGGATGGAGGAAGGAAAGAGGGAGGGAAGGATGAAGGGAAGGAGGGAAGGAAAGAAGGAAGGAATAAGGGAGGGACAGAAAGAAGGAAGAAGAAAGGAAGGAAGGCAGGCAGGCAGGAAGGAAAGTTTCTTTGAGGCACCTCTCCACTGAGACCTTCCCCTGGCCTATCGTGACTAATGTTCATCTATCGTGTCTACTGTGTAGAATCTGGGGGCTCAAGCATGAAAGGCCCCAAGCTCTGCTGGGTTCTTCATTTCCAAACTACCCCATGATTACTTCCCACCTGCACTGCTGATAAGGAGGTAGCACAGGACTCCGCGCTTGCATCCGATCTGGGTGTTTGTGAGTGAGGGCTGTACTGCATGCCACAGGCTCATGGCCCCCTAGCCAGCATGCTAGCTCGCAGGAACCCCAGCACTGCAGTGAATTCCCACGGAGAATGCTCTCCTTCTCCCAAGACTGCCTTGTCTTCCAAATCTCCAAAAATAATAGTACTGTTTCTGTCAAAACTGCTATTTCCGTAGAGATGAATCTTCCCTCCCACATTTGTCTTATTTTGCAGGACATTGTTAAAAATATCTTTTCATAACTAACTAATAGTATTTATTTCTCCATTTCACAAGCTTGACTCTCAAGGGTATTATAATGCTGCAAAGGACGAATGTTTTTTTTTTTTTTAAAGATTTTATTTATTTATTTGACAGAGACAGAGACAGCGAGAGCAGGAACACAAGCAGGGGGAGTGGGAGAGGGAGAAGCAGGCTTCCTGCGGAGCAGGGAGCCCGATGTGGGGCTCGATCCCAGGACCCCAGGATCATGACCTGAGCCGAAGGCAGTCGCTTAACCAACTGAGCCACCCAGGCGCCCCAGGACGAATGTTTTATGGGATTTGTTGCAAACAGACCACAGCCCCACGCTCAAAGCCAGCACTCATTTCCGTGTGAAGGCCTTGAATTTGAACCTCAATGCAGTTCACCTCCCTGTGGCGTCCTAGCCACCCCTGTCTGCTTCTGGTGCTCAGACTGGCCCTCTTGCCTGCAGCCAGTTGTCAACTAATCCTTCTGGCTGTGAATCCTCAACTGGAAATGTTGCCTTCTGTAGAGACACATTCTAATGATGGAATCACAGGCACAGCCATGGGCCTAAGTAGAAGCACGGTTGGGAAGGAGCTGCTGGCACAAGGCTGGACTCGTCCACAAGGAGCCTTAGCCCACATCCCCCAAAGGTGGTGGGTGCTGCCTTCTCTGCACCCACAAATACCTGTCAAAAATGTCTGGACTTTCTAACTTCTAGGTGCTGATTATTGGTGGCCTCTATGAATGAATCCCTTCCCCCACTTTTCTTGGGTCTCCAGATATACAAGCATCTAAGACACTGTTTCTTAGTTACAGACAAAATAGAGGCTCTTAAGCTATGATTTTCCTCATCCTTCTGCTTCTCCACTTCAGAACATCAGTCTCTGTGTCCATCTGAGCATTTGTCCTGCTCCTCTGACTCCTTTACCCAAAGCGAGCCCGTCTCCCTGTGTTCTGGATTCCACCCCATGCCTCTTGTTTCCCTGAGTTCCCTTTCTTGCCTATGACTTCAAAGCGTCCCTCTCTGTGTTCATGGGAGTCCTTGACATCACACAATGTACAAATCCTTCTTACCTGAGAACCTGGCTTCCTCTCTGTCTTCAAGTCATGACAAGCTGGTGTTCTTCCT